TTATCATGTGTGTATGTTGTTATCATGTGTGTATGTTGTTACATGTGTGTGTTGTTACATGTGTGTATGTTGTTACATGTGTGTATGTTGTTACATGTGTGTATGTTGTTACATGTGTGTATGTTGTTACATGTGTGTATGTTGTTACATGTGTGTATGTTGTTATCATGATAAGATTAGAAGCGCATGTTGATCGATTGAGGAGTCTCTTCTTCCAACAAACATAGAGTGGACTTTGGTGAATGTTCTTTCCTGCAGTGTGAGATCCTGAAAGCCTTCAGATGGCACTGACACAATGTGAGGTCCATCGGTTGGAACCATTTGACTTTTTTACAATTTGACTTTTCTTTTACAATTTCTCACAATTTTACTTTTTTCAAACAAATGGACGTTTTTATCACAATTTTACCTTTTTGTCTCAATTTTAGTTTCTTCCCCACACCCAGTTTTAAGGCCCTCAAAAGAATCACTCATGGAACGAGAATAATAACTCTTTATGTCAATAAGTCCTTCGCTCCAACCACATCAGTCAGAATGGTAGTACCTCAGCCCAGCTGCGGCTCATTCACTTCTTATTTTACAATTTGACTTATTTTTCCTAAAATGTAACTTTTTTTCTCCAAATTGATTTTATTCCAAATGTTTGACTTTTTGTTCAAAATTTGACTTTCTGACCAACATTTTACTTTTTTCTCACAATTTCAGATACTAAGTCCTTCGCTCCCCACATCAGTCACAATGCTAAAGTCTCACCCCAGCTGGAGGTCTGAGACGAGGGTCCAGCCCCCAGCAGCCCTTCAGACATGTTGGGGCGCAGGAGACCCCCCCCCGCACTGGAAGAGAGGCAACAAACAGACGGTTAAACGCACATTCAACATTAGAGCACAGGAGAGACACTAAACACTGATATACACCTTGAAGAGAGCAGGATTTGTTTACAGATCAACAAACATGATGACAGCGCTTTAAGGTCACTTTTAGAATCACTCAGATATAATGTTACACAATGAGAGAAACACGAGGCCACGGTGAGTAAATGTGAAGAGCAGAAACAAGTTCAGAGTTCAGAGGGTCTGTTTAACGAGCGTTTCAGATAAGGAGCTCAGAGGAACATTAAACATAGAGCTGAACATGTTCTGGGACTTAGCTTGAATTGTGTCTTCAGGAGAAAGTACTGGAAGAGTTGCAGAACCAGAGCCACTAGATGTGAGTTCCTGTGGAACCTTTCCATTCAATAGGACCAGTTGATCATCTAACTCTATCCAGACGGGCTGTAGTGTCTCTTACCTTCTGCCGGAGGACATACCAGGGTCCCAGTCCGGATACCTGGAAACAGCATTCACCACATTCACAAGTTACATCTCAACCAAAACCCACTAAAGTGTCCGTGCCCATGTCCAAAGTGCGTCCGTGACTCACATGTTGAGCAGCTGCCGGCGGTTTTCATCATGTCGAAGTCCGTTGATGTGCTGGTTCCACTCCTGAGGGTCCCAAACACAGATTTACTGACGCCCCACGAGCCCCCCAGGAGAACCTCAAAGCAACAGTTCACCCAAATAATACAATTCAAGAGGTTTAGTGAAAAACTATGAATAATCCCAGGGCCTCAGATTCCAGATTATCCTCACACTGAAGGAGATTAGAAAGTCCCTGATCTGTGTGATGCTTTATAACAGGACCCTCCCCCTCTAAATGCAAACTGTCAATAGGTCAATATTTCATTTCTTCTCAGCATTTTGACATTTTTCTTAGATTAGGAAATGTGTCTAACATTTGACTTTTTTCTCCCAATTCTGACTTCTTTCACAATTTCACTTTTTTTTTACATTAGACTTTCTCATAATTTCATTTTTTCTCAATTTCACTTTTTTTACTCATAATTTCATTTTTTCTTAATTTCACTTTTTTTACTCATAATTTCATTTTTTCTTAATTTCACTTTTTTTACTCATAATTTCATTTTTTCTAACATTTGACTTTTTCTCAGTATTTGACTTTTTTTCCCCAATTCTAACTTTTTAAGAATTTCCCCTTTTTTTAACATTCAACTGTTTTCTTAGAATTCTGACTTTTAATAGCAATGTTTAAAAACGAGTCAACTCACACATGCCTAGTTACTTTGAGAGGGAGTGATGTCATCATGTGAACAGATGCAGATTTGGTCAAGTACCTCTGATTCTCATTGATGCTTACATTAGCAGAATCAAAGTTGGAATCTAATTCTCACATCTTTCTATTTGACGTCCAGCGGTACAAATGTGTAAAAATCAAAGTGAATACATTGTCTAGCTGGAGGAAGGTGAACGTGGTCTCTAAGATGCTGGAGACCCACGTCTGACTGAACAACTACACGGCTTCAGGTGTCAACAACTGGAAGACATGCTGAAACTAAATGTGATGCAATCTGTCCCTGGTAACACGAGGACAGAAGACTGGAGCTCTGAGACATTTAACGTTAGTCCCAAATCCACCTCAGACCAGGAGGCAGAGAACCGTGTGGTGGAAACAACTCCAGGAGAAGTATGCAAGTATTAAAATGACCTGAGAAAGAAGAGTGTACTAACAAAGCACTGTGGTGAGTTTGACTACACATATAAGGGAACTCAGTACAGGTAAGCAAGGATTATCAGAAAAGTGTGGAACTAGAAAGTCAGCATTTAACAAGAGGAGGAAGAAGTAGAGCCTTCAATGCAGTACATGTATTAAAACACACTGTGAAAATATTCAAGTAATATCCTGCGTCTCATCTACCGTTGAGCATGGTAAGAGGAAGGAGTCTGGCGGTACTCACCATGGTGGAGTGAACGTCAAAGTCACAAAGAGAGCACACGTGGGGGAACATGTTGGGCGTGGATCCCAAGAAGTCCTGGATCTTCCCGTTGGACGGCAGCGCTCCCATCCTCCGCGGCAGGAAGGGGTCGGACGGGGTCGAACCGCCGTAGGACTCTCGATCGGAAAGATCAGAAAACGGCCTCTCTCTTCCTCCACCTCCACCACCTCCGAAGTTTACCCCAAATCCCTGGCTTGACTCCTGCATCGACCCGAACCCAAAGTCTGCAGAGGGCTGTGAAGAACCCAGAGAAGAAGAAGAACCCATCCTCCCCTCCCATCCTCCTCCTCCTCCTCGGTACCCTGCGTCCAAATTCATACTCGAAGCGGTCGCTCTCCGATCTCCAACGTCCACTTTTCGGCTTTTCAGCTGCATGAGGATTCGAGGCAGTGACTCCACGCTGATGTCCTCCTCGGGGATGTCAGCCAAAGCGTCCAGGTCGGAGGGAGAAAGACCCAAACTGGCAAAAAGCTTCATGGTGTTGCTGATATGGCCTCGACGCGACATTTGGGAACCGCCCCCCTCCTGGTTCTCCATGATGCCAACACCACTACCAACACCTGAGGACATCGAAACCCCCCCCATTTGCCGATTGGATCTCTGATCGGTCATGCTGTAGTTTAAAGTCTCAGCGGCGGCCAGAAGTCCTCGACCGGCAGCAAAATGTTTCTGACCGCCGTCTGACTGCGACTTCTGAGACATGGCGCCACTAAAGAACAGTCGAGATTAAAGAGGTGAGGCCGGCAGCTGCCAAAAAAAAGGTGTTTTGGATTATTTGAAAGGACGGTGGAAAGTCAGTTTGAGCAAAAAGGGGAAGGGGATTCTTTCTCTTCTGTTTGCTGAAACACAAGGAGGTAGAATATGGTGTGAATGTCCCCTCTCTCTCTAATAACAAGTATTTGATTCTGATCTGAAACTCTTCAGACGCTGACAGCTAGCGGAGGCTAAAGACGGATTCGTTAACATTGATTTGTGAGACATGAAGGTAAAGAAGGAGACAGAACTAAAGACATCCAGACGGAGGGAGAACCACGAGCTGCAAACGTCCTCGCTGAAACATGAGGATCTCTGAGGAACGGTGTCACAAATATATCAAAGAGAGAAAAAGATAAGCTCAGATAAAGCTCTGGGTCTGCAAAATGTGAAGGAACAAAAAGCATGAGCACTTACAATGAGGAGCTGCAGAAGTGGAGCAAAACACAGAGACATTTGAAACCTTTGAGTAGCTCTGTGATTCAGAGATGATGGGGAACCAGATGGAATCAGCTTTTTACAAGAGGTGGAAGAAGCAGAGACTTTAATGTACTAATGAAAATACTGCATAACAAGTCAAAGACCTGCATTCAAAACCTTATGCAAGTAGAAGTATGTGAGTATTCAAATGTACGTTCAACGTATTAATTGTGCAGCGCTCTTATACAGCGCTGTGGAATACTTTCACTACATAAGTACCAAGTAAAGTTATTCAGGAATGATCAGCAGTGTGCAACTAAAACACTCAAACGTCTCACGAGTTTCTCAGGAGAACTGTTTTGTGACGAGGCATTTTCCAGCTGATCCAATTAATTAATTAAGATTAAGAAAGGAGGACCTAGGCCCAATCCCAAACCGCCCCCTACACCCTACACCTCCGTGTTCCGCCACAATAAGTGCTGTTCCAAACCAACGAGTGTGGAGGGGGAGTGGAGTAGAAGGGGTATGGATGTTTGTAGGTTTATTGCAAGAAGTATCAATGAATTTATATGGAGGGGTTGATGAGATGTTCTGGTTTGGCGGGACGTGCTGTGGTCCGTGCAGAGGGAGACTCAGAGTGGGGGTACCGTCTCCGGCATGATCTGCTCGGGCTGATTACGGGCTCCCAAAAGAGTCGGATTAATGCAACTGACTTGAGCGTGTGCATGTCTGACGCCGTGAGATTGTTGCGGATGTAAGCGTGGCAAGCTTGGGATGACCAGCGGCCGAGGGCCTGGATGGTTTGGATCAGAGATGCCCGGTCCAGCTGCTGTGGACGCGGCGCCGATGCGGGACAAATGGCTCGAATAATATTCTGAGAATGTCCCCAAAATACGTGGGATGTTCTGAAAATGTTTCTGGAACCTCAACCTGTTGAGCCCCAAGCCTGTTTTTCGGGTCTCAGGCTCGAAAAGGACATGCCCGGAACAAATGGCTATCTTCACTTCTAAAAGGGTTAAATAATAATCTTTTATCGGGGGGACGTTCCCACTAAACATTACCGTTGAGGAGTTAGAATGATGCACATGTGGTTTGCCCAGAACCGGAAGCTCCGTTACACTCTAAATGAAAAATACGTTAATTGCCGTAAATGTTAGGTTGGGTTGCCTCTGACTCCGGCGAGTTGATCAGCAGTTCGGAATCCATGGTGAGTTTAAAGTTAGTTTGAACCGTGATGACTCGTGGCGTGGGTCCCGGTCAGCCTGTCTGTCTCTGAGTGAATAGAGACGGGCAGTTGCCGGAGGTTTGGCCGGATATATATAGAGTGGGGTTGAGGCGTGGCCATGCTCCTGAACCTAGGTTAACAAATTAATCGAGATAAACAAGTACCTCGTAAAAAGGTCAACCCTAGTTAACAGACAACAGTTTAAAGACGGGAGGTGAAACTGATTCAGCGCCTCGAAAGCCGGCTGTCCTCAGTTTATATTGGCTCAACAGGCAGGTGTGGGGTTGGGTAAGATAGCGCACCAATCTTTCTACTTTTTTAATCCTGTTTTGTTTCTATTTGAGATGTTCACATTTTAGAATGCTGCAACACGAACATTTCCCAAATTGGGATCATTAAAGTACATCTTATCAATTGGGATCCATGATTCGCCAGATGGGAGGGTCCAGGCAGTACGTCATCATAAGGGGAAGAACAATTGGCCTCTGAAGGACAGAACAGCTCACACATAGAAAAGAGACGGATCAGAGAAGGGTTAGTGGAGGATAGGAGGCGGTCACACACCATCCACAGCTCATCCCCTCATTGTCCACTGCTTCCTCTTTCTCTCTAATCTTCCTCCAGTGAGTACTACATACCGTACCAAAGCTTCTGCACACATGCCCATCACTCTCTTTTCTCATTATCTCTCCCACTCTAGTCTCTATTTTAGTAATTACAACCACGAATGAGTCTACGATTACTGTACGGTAGAAACCAGTCCAGGTCTAATGACATTTTCTCTCATTAATGCACTTCTTTAGCTCTCTCCTTTATTATTCTTGGTTTGTCTGCACATAGTTAGCATGGTGACACATCACAGCTGGTATTCTTTTAAAGGGGACCTATACTCATATCTTTTATACATAACCGTGTGTCCCCTCTGTGGAAAGAGACTCTGAAAGTTTCAGGAACAAAGATTCTCTCTCTTTTTGATCCATTTCTATAAAAATCTGTCTGAAAATGAGCTGATCAGATTTTGGCCACTTTATGATGTCATAACGATGTTTTGGCTTGTGTAACCATTAGCCAATCAGCAACCAAGGTAACCCCCCCACCCCCACCTTATCACCTGAATTTCCTCCTATGCCCCTTTCACACCAACGCGTTGTCAGGGCCGGCTCGGAACTAGAGCCCGTTTTTTTCCTGTTCACATCCGGTTCGATTCCGGAGATAAGAGGCGGCGCCGCTTACATCTCTCTTACGTCGAGGTGGGGGCATAGGCGGGATCAACCTCCTGAAGACCCAACCCAGTCTCACGGCATTTTGTGTTACAGTCACGACATATAATCTATTGATTCGTGTTCACCAACACGAGTTTCACCTTTTTTCCATGCACAGAACGATTTTAAAAGCAATGTATTTCTATTGGTAGTGTGATTTTGCGTGCAACACG